GGCTGAAGCTCTTGCCGCAGGCGCCGCACTCGTAGGGCTTCTCGCCGCTGTGCGTGCGCTGGTGCTGGATGAGGTGCGACAGGCGGCAGAAGCTCTTGCCGCACTCGGCGCACTTGTGCGGCTTCTCGCCCGTGTGGATGGTCTGGTGCTGGATGAGGTGCGAGCTGCGGCCGAAGCTCTTGCCGCACTCGCTGCAGTCGTAGGGCTTCTCGCCCGTGTGCGTCCGCTGGTGCTGGATGAGGTGCGAGCTGCGGCTGAAGCCCTTGCCGCACTCGTAGCACTTGTAGGGCCTGTCCCCCGCGTGCGTCTTCTGGTGCCGGTGGAGGTCCGCCATCTGGCCGAAGGCCTTCCCGCACTGCGAGCATATGTGGTAGCGGATGCCCGGGGGGCCGTCCTCGCGCGCCAGCAGGTCGGTGACTTGCTGGAGCGGGTAGCTCACCCACTCCTCCGCCGTCAGCTCGCCCCACCGTCTCCCCGCCCCGTCTCCGCGTCCAAAGGCCTCTTCGCCGTCGGCGTTCCTCTCGGCGTTCTCGGCCGGCTCTTCGGCCATGGTCACGAATTCCACGTCTTCACCAAACTCTTGCTTCGGGTTTGCGTCGTTCTCGCTCCTGATCTCAAAATCTGTGAGGCGGAGGAAACAAGGCAGAGGCGGGTCAGAACGCAAGAGCAATCATCCCTGCGGCGTTCGAGGCGCTGAGCTGAGGGGTTTCAGTTCCTCCACTGTCTGGGGGTGCTGCGGGGTCAACTCAGGGGTTTGTGCTTGCCGTTTAAACGCTCTAACGCTCAGCTACACCAAGCCTTCTCCTGGCCTCTGTGGGCACCAAAATCATATACACAAACCCACACTCTCAAACCCATGAAATTAAAAGATAAAACAAGCCGGATGGAAGCGGCACACCTTTAGTCCCGGGGCAGCCAAGGCTACACAGAGAAACCCTGACTCAGAAAACTGAAAATGAATGAAGATAAAAACAGAAATGTAAACATTCAAACCCAAGTTTGTTTGCTTAGTTTGGGCTCCTTATTTAATGGTTATTTAAGAAGCTATCGATCCCTGTTATTTTGAAAAAGGAAAACAATCAGAATCAAAACAACAACAACAGAAAAGAATTTCTACCAGACACTGTATTTTCTAAACTAGGTCTCTGTTTTTCTTTCAGCTTTCCAAGACAGGGTTTCTCTGTGCGTAGCCTTGTCCATTTGGAACTCACTAATGTAGACCAGGCTGGCCTTGAATTCAGAGATCTGCCTGCCTCTGCCTCTGAGTGCTGGGATGGATTACACTACCACAATTGGCTTTCTGTCTTTTCTTTTTTTCTTTCTTTTTCTTTTTTTCTTTTTTTTTTTTTTTGTTGGGTGGGGTGCTATAGTTAGGTTGTATTTAAAACAGATTTGAGTAAATAACATAGTTATGGCTGTTTAATTTTTACTTCATTTTTAATTATGTGTATGTGTCTGGGTTGGAGTAGGTGTGTGATTGATTGCAGGTGCCTTCAGGGGCAAGAAGAGGGCCTCCGATCCCCAGACCTGGAACTACAGGCAATTGTGAGCTGCCTGGTGTGGATGCTGAGAAATGAACTCAGGTCTTCTGCAAAAGCGACAGATGCTCTTAACAGCTGGGCCATCTCTCCAGCCCGTTTTTGTTTTTGTTCATTCTGTTTTCCACAGTGGAGTTACTGTTGTTGTTTTTAAAGAACAATTCAAGGGGCAAAGGCTCAATGAAGAATTGGGGAGGGGAACAAATCAGATCAAAGTTTACACTGACACCCATATATAAAAAACTTATTATTTGATGTCATCTAAAAACGAATAAAAAATAAAAAGGAGAATCCAAGGAAATCAGGACATCACAGAAAGTCCAAGCTAAGAACCCTCAGAAGGTCACCTTTTGTTGTGAGAATAAAAACACTTTAAAATATCTTAGTCCTTCATCTGACTTTATGCAGCACTGAGGCTCAAACCCAGGACTTCGAGCAGGTCAAGCAGGCACTCCGCACCCGCAGCCTCATGAGCTCTCCCCTTGGTGGGATCTGTGATCTAACTGTTCAATGCCTCCTCTGAAAGAGCAGCACACATAACTGAAGGATGATCGCCTAGACAGGACCCTGGGCACCGGAGGCAAAGCTGCAGCCATGGAGCCAAAACAAACATACAGGGTGGCTTCCGCCCACTAGTGAACCTGCTTGGGAACCCCTCATCTTCCAGCACCCAAGAGAAAAGCCGCCGTTTACAGGGCATTTATGTCCTGGCGAGCACCACAGTGTCAGACCTGTTTGGTCAGTGATCTGTACAAACAGGCTGCAGAATGGCAAATGACTCAGGGCAAGGAGAATTCTAAAGGCCTCTGCAACTACAGAAACCTCTTTTCTTTCTTTTCTTTTCTTTTTTTTTTTTAAAGATTTGCATGAGCACCAAAGCCAGTAACTAACTGTGTGGTTTTCCTTAAAAAACAAACAAACAAACAAACAGGGCTGGATTGAAAGACCATTTTAACAGTTTCAAAAAATGGTAGGAGGTGAAAAAAAAAAAAGAGATAAAACTCCTCACTCACCCAGTGAGACAACATTTCCATAATTCTCCTGCATCACGTCCCTGTAAAGATCTCTTTGGGTAGGGTCCAGGGGTCTCCATTCTTCCCGAGTGAGGTACATGGCCATGTCTTCAAATGTCACAGGGGCCTGAAAGCACACAACGCTTCCTCACTACTTGGTATCTGGGAGTTTAGTACCAGCTTCTCTTCTTGAAATTAGAGACATGGTTAGAAACGTCGAGAAGGCAATGGCATTACGTCTCCTCTGTAGAGTCCAAAAAAAGGAAAGACATAAGAAAGAAAGGAAACAAAACAAAACAAAAAGACATGTGGTCAAAGGCAGGGGCAACCTACTAGCTATCCCTGCCCACTTTGGGGGCCTTTTCCTCTAGCCATGTCCTCTTCAGAACAGGCCTGGCGCGTACATGGCTCGCTACCTCTGCATTCAAAGCCCTCCTTTTCTTAGACCAGTGCAGTTCTCTTCTTTAGGGTCCAGTTCTAGAGCCAACTGTAGTTCTTTTCCCCCCGACTCTTTTGCTCTTCACTCCTCCCTCGGATACCGACCCCAACTAGAATGAATACTCCACGACTTACTGGTTCCCACACCACAGCACGCTCTTGCTAAGGCAAACAGTATCTATCATACTGTATCAAGGCTAACCGGATGCACCTTTCTCTTTACAGATCGTTGGTAAGGAGGGTACCACCCATCTTGTTCGGTTTTATTCTCAATATTTAAAGGCATACAGTAGATATTCTGATCGTACAGTAGCTATGCTTATAATACGGCTGTTAGCCAGCCTTAAGACCCTGGAGCAGAATCCCAGGGAATGCATTATAGGGGTTTGCAGAACGGGGAAAACACCCATCGAGATGGGTAAGCAGAGGCGAGGTCCGGGAAGCCACCCCCGGCTTACCTGGGACCCAGCCATGAGCAGGGTGGCTGCCATCTCGGCCTCAAGCGTTCGTCTCTTGGGAGAGAGAGCAGGAAAAGCAGCTAGCAGACAACGCTGAAGGAGGCGAAAAGCAGGGCGTGAGGCGCGGCAAGAGGCCCTGCCCACTCCCTAGGGCTGGAGTTTGGTCGCAGGTTAGGAGGGGAAGGCCCAGGAGCAGTCACTCTCCTCCCTGACCTGCGAGCGTGCCCCGCTCTCCGTGTCTCTGTTAATACCGAATAAATGCAATGCTGGGAGAGAACAGCCACTGGCTAGGTGGCCCCTGGGCTGGGGGTCAAGACGATGCTATTTGGGGGATGAGGCTTTCAACCCAGCCCATAGAACGCCTCTGCTCTTCCATCTCCGGGCTCGGGACCTTTCCGGCAGCAAGCTCAGCCAATCAGAGGAAAAAACTCATAAAACACCGGACCAATCAGATGCCAAACCATCAGACCTCCTCCTGCGGCGTGGCGGAGCAGCTCCAGCACGCGTGCGCGCGCCTCTCGGCCTGCCGGGACTTGGAGTTTCGCTCTGCCGTACAAAGGCCACTTAGAGGCCAAGAGCAGGGGAGGAAAAAGAACAAAAGGGAGGAGACAGGACCGCGTCTTTCAAGACCCGTCGGAGTAGCTTCCACTTTCTGCTCGGAGACCACTGCACGATTCAGCAAAGGAGGCCTCTCTGTTTATTCTCACGGCCCTTTCCCAAAGAACTGTCTTTGAGTCGGATTATTATCCGCGAGATCACACTGAGTGTGAGGGCCGGGGCTAAACCCATCTGGGATCAGCCCTCTTTTGGCAGCCCTGGCCAGAGCGAGAAAATGCTCCCCTTGCCTCCCTCGGGAGACTCCCAGGCCGCGATGGAACTTTGGGCCCCGCCCACGTACTCACTACACCTCCCAGCACCGCCTGTAGCTCTTGCTCTCTGGATCCGTGGACTACCACTCCCAGTAGGCTTTGCGGCACTTGCACCCGCGCTCAGACTACATATTCCAGGAGGCCTCGCGCCGCCTGCCCTGAGCTGGAGTGCGTGAGTTCAGCAATAGCTACAGTCCGGGCACGGGGTGTCCCGATATTAACCCTATAGGGAGCTTCTCGCGCTCTTCCATAGAGACCAGACTCAATGCACTTATCTAAGACACCAGAACACTGAAATCAAAGCGGGAAAGAGGGTAAGGTGCCTAGGGAGATAGCTGGTCCCAGAATGGAAACTCTTGTGCTCCGCTGAAAGGGTTTTTGGAGAATGCTCCCTACACCATGAAGACCCTGGGCCTGCGATGACCAGGACCCGAAAGGGTCCTAAGGATGTTAGCAGCCTCTGTCTGTTTAAGGAAGCCACAAACCTGGGTTAGAACAGAATGAAGAAGCTTACCTCCTGGTCTGCGAAACATCTACTGGTCACTGGCTCCAAGATCCCCGAGAGGCCTGAGATTCCAAAGCCCCCCAGTTCTGTATCACAGCGGCACCAGCAGATTCCGGAGATCTCAGGGCCACAGGTAGAAATCCGGATCCATTGAAAGTGTCTGATGTTAGGGTGAGCTAAAGCTTCAAAACTGCAGAGATTGTTCTATAGCTCCTGGAAACCACAAGCTCATAAACAAATTCCTGAGGCCACAACAGCTGGCCAAGAAACACCAGCAACAATTAAGCTGTATTCAGTAAGAGTCCTCCAAATGGAAGGACTGCTGGAGGATGAAGGAATTAGACAATGGAAGGCTAGGGCTAGGCAAAGCAGGCATTCTGCCTGGGGAAGAACTTCCAGCTTGCTGTAGCCTTGGAGAGGGAAGTGATGGAAAAAGAATATAGCAGCTTATTAGGGACTCCCACCCTCTTCAAGTTATAAATATCCCCAGAACCTTGGCTTGCTGCCCAGAAGCCTGTTGTCTCCAACTGAACAGGAGACTGCTCTGCCTGGGCTGGGAAAAGGGGCTTTTCTTTTGTTTTGCAGATACATCCATGCACTGAAGGACTTGGCAAAACAATTATTTTTTTTCCAAATATGATTCCTGGCCATGCTTTTATTAGAGTGTCCTGTTCCCAGTGCCCAGTTATTTATGGCTACATGACTCAGGGGTCTAAAAACGAGCTAGCAGGACCCTACCAGCCATACTGCATCTCTTCTATGTGTGCTTTTCTTACACTCCTAAAGGGGGGTGGGGTGGTAGCAACTTTAACCCCAGCACTGGGGAGGCAGAGGCAGAGGCAGGTGAATATGTGAGTTCGAGGTCAGTCTGGTCTTACAGAACTAGTTCCAGGACAGTCAGAGCTAAACAGAGAAACCTTATCTCAAAAACAAACAAAAAGTAAATTTTGTTTCATTTTTAATTATTTCTATTTGGGGGGTGGTGGAGGGGGTTATAAGCATGTGAGTGCAGGTGCCTGAGGAAGTCAGAAGAGGGTGTCCAGTCTCTGCCGGAATTACAGGTGGTCGTAAGCCACCCTAGTTGAGTGCTAGAAAACGAATGTGGGACCTCTGCAGAGGAGTATGCGCTTTAAACCACTGAGCTTTCTGCAGCCCGGCCATCTCCTTTTCAGTACAGTTGAAACTGTCAGAGCTGAGGATGTTGAGAAGGGATTTAAAGCACCCCTGTACAGAATGAACAATAAGACCATTGGGATTTGGATGGATCCTGCCTTTGGTAGCAGCAGAAACTTCCAGAAAGGCCCATGGGTATAGTTAGTGGCCTGAAGGTCTGGGAAATCATAGCCACTCTGGGATGACCTTATCCTCACACTATTGTTTCTGCTGGAAATACGGCCAGTGGGTGGATTCAAGGGCACGGTATGTAGGACCTAGTATTTGGGATTGCCAGCAACACAGCAAGCTGAGACCTCACTCAGAGAAAACTGAGTCAGGGGTCAATAACCGAAATGCCAGAGACAAGGAAGATGACTGCTATAGATCCCTCTGCTTCACTCAGGTCTCTGAGGTAAGATAAGACAAGGGCCCAGGCCATCCCCAGAAGGGGGCCTCCCTTTTCACAGTGGTTGCTTTGTCACTTCTGTGGCCTTTTGTCCCCTTGCTGTCAAGCTTTAAGCCCTCTTTTGTCCCTCTTGCTTTTCCTTTTATTCCCAAGGACTGTGCCCAGGGGCAGGGTGGCTCTGTGTGTCTAGCTTGTCAGCCTGCCCCGACTCAGTGCATTTTCTTTCTCCACCTGGGAGTGGAGAGGGTAGGAACAGGATGGGAAGCACCTTGGAGAGTGGGGAAGGAAAAACAGTGGCTGAGGGGCTTCCTGTTGAAGCTTGCAGATTGACTCTCAGGGCATGGGGAGGGCGGTTCACTGGAGGAGGAGGCGGCTTCCTGCCCTATTGTTCAGTGTTTGGATTTTCTAGAGGGAGTTGGAAAGTCTTGTCTGTTCCCATCATTCAGCAAATGGTGAGCACATATTGTGTTGGGGGGGGGGGGGCTTCAGTACAGCTTGCCACAGAGGAAATAAGGATCTTCCTTGCCTGTCTTTAAAAAGTGCCATTGCTACTGGATTAGTGTACCTGTGAGGCTCTGTAAATGATTTTTAAAAATATTTATTTATTTTACAAATATGTGTGCTCTATCTGTAGGTCACTTGCATGCCAGAAGAGGGCATCAGATCTCATTATAGATGGTTGTGTCCACAATATGGTTGCTGGGAATTGAACTCAGGACCTCTGGAAGAGCAGACACTGCTCTTAACCACGAAGCCATCTCTCCAGCCCTCTATTAATGATTTTTTTTTGGGGGGGGGGTTCAGTTTGTCTGTCTTTCTTCCTTCCTTTCTTTCTTTTCTTTTCTTTTCTTTTTTTTTTTTTTTTTTTTCAAGACAGGGTTTCTTTGTGTAGCCCTGGCTGTCCTGGAACTCAATCTGTAGACCAGGCTGGCCTTAAACTCAGAGTGCTGAGGTTAAAGGCATGAGCCATCACCACCCAGCTATAAATGATTATTTTTAGTAAATATTTTTTAAAAGATTCATTTCATGCCAGGTATGGTGGCATACACCTTTAATCCCAGCACTCTGGGAGCCAGAGGCAGGTGGATCACAGTGAGTTTGTAAACCAGCCTGGTTTACAAAAGGAGTCCAGGGCAGCCAAGGCTACACAGAGAAACCCTGTCTCAAAAAAAAAAAAAAGATTCATTAACTCTGTGTGTGTGTGTGTGTGTATATGCATGTAAGTACCCTGAGAAAACCAGCCATCACATCCCCTGGAGCTGGAATTTCAGGCCACTGTGAGATTGTAAGTCACCCATCTCCAGGCCTCTTAAAAAAATAGAAATAAAAAATAAAAAACAAGCACCTTTAACCTTTGAATCATCTCTCCAGCCCCATATTTTAATAAATCTATGGTTATTTATGAGCAGTCCAATTATAGTTTTTCTTTGCTATCAGAAGTATTAACCTGTTAAACACTTTAAAATGTCTCCATGTTTGTAATCCTATTTGCTAATTTTCTCTTTAAAAAATAATAAATGGCCGGGGGCCCCCCCTTGCCTTTACAGCTGCACCCAGACCTGCATCCTGTCCTGTCCCCGCCTCTGGCCAAGCCCTTCTCACTGAGAAGGAAGGAGGCTTTGCAGAAGAGGTGACATCCAGGCAGTCTTGCAGACGGTAGGCATGTCGGGTAGAGACTGTAGGAGGGAGAGCTTTAGTCTTGAACAGTTTGTGCAGAGGCACAGAGGCATGAAAGGACAGCTCTGTTCCAGCATGGCTTGGGTTTCTTAGGACAGGAGGGAAGAGTGGCAGGGGGAAGAAGCAGGGTGAGGACGGTGTCTCATGTTCCCTGAGTGCCTGTCTGTCTCTGCCTCTGGCTACAAATCAGTGAAGCTGGTAGTAAGTCCCACAAGCAAGGGCCCCGGGGCCTGGCCTGGGTGAGAAGAGCAGCTGGGCAGGAGGAGAGAAGGGCACAGAGGGGGGAGCTTGGCCTCCTAATGCTTCTGCTGGCTTTCCCCAAAGAGTATTCTCCACAAATGTAGAGAATGACACTAAAAATGTTAACTAACTTAAGTGCTGTTGTCTGGGCTTTTAAGGACATCAACTGGACCCAGGTTGTTATGCCCTTTCTGCACTAGACGCTAAACAGGGAATCGGACACCACCCTCTAATGGCTGCAGGACTGCTGTGAGGATTAAATGTGAGAATGACACTTGGCGCATGCATGGACACACACACACACATACACACACACATACACACATGGATCCAAGACAGGATGGAGTTGAATGCGTCGCAGATGCTCTGTTGGTGAAGCCATATTTGAGTGACTTAGAATGAAACTGGTGATCTGGGTCCAAATCCAAGCTCTGTCTCATAAGAACAAATTACTCCCTGAACTTTGGGCTCCTCGGCTTACAGAGGGTCTAATAATACAAACAGTGCTCTCTGGTGTTTGCCGGGATGGGGGAGGGGTGCAGGG